AAAAAAAAAAAAAAAAACGGTTGCATTGTCTCTACTCGAGGAGTATATAATGGAATAACGGAATAACGGAATAATGGAATAATGGAATGTAATAACGAGAGAGGCACGAAACGGAAAATCGCAACTCTTTCGGCAGTTTGGCCTACATCTCTGCCAGCGAGGTAAAGTAAAGTAACTCGGGCAGAAGGACGATGATGCAGTATGGTGGACCATATGCCGGGTCCGTACGGAACGGTTCCAGCCGACGCGACGGATAATTACGAGGGATGCTACGCTGCCTTCGGGGGGTAGGGGCGAGCGAAAATTCAATGGTGGGGCGCGTTGCTACATAAGGAAGGTACCGTCCTCCGAAGGGTCCCAGTCCGTTGGAAATTTCGGCGATACGGGAACCTGCTCGTTTGCTCGTTGCTTGCCGACAACACGCGCTACGCTTGTGTTCTGTCTCTACTCGGTGTCCTTTGTGATGAACGCGTTGAAATCGTGCGACTCGATTTAAAAATCCAAGAGCTAGTGAACCTCGAGGAAGAGTGAACCAGCGAGCGAATACATACGTTACGGAACAAATAGGTGTGATTGATTTTGATCAAACATGAAGACTTTGTGGTTTATTTTGTTGGCCTGGTGTAGCACGCCAACTACTGGATTCGATCTCGGGCCGATCATCAGAACTGCTCAGTGCAGATCGCAATGTTTGAAGCAGCACACCGCCGACGGGTTCTGCGACAACTTGTGGGACACGGAATACAAGCAGGCACACTCTTGTAAAGTTGTAAGTAAAGAAATCAAGTCCTTTCCTTTCCTTTCCTTTCCTTTCCTTTCCTCTCCTCCTCCACTTTGCAGATGTTGCTCCTACTGTTACCATAAAATTAGCCTCCTGTGAGATTATCGCTTACCGTTCGTTCCATCGAACGTTTTATCCCAATTTGTAGAAAAAGAGAAACAACCGTCCGAAACTTTGAAAGCATCGTCCTATCATTGTCCCAACTTCTTCGTTTCAAACTCAGAACCTGGCCGCGAGTACGCGACGATAGTTTTACGTTTTACGGTTTGGTGGACAGCTGTTGAATGATCAATCAGGCCTGAAAAAGTATTAGCTCAGTGCTAACACACCGAGTCGGTAATGACAATAAAAATCCTCGGAAAGTGTCCTAATAGCACTCTTTTCTATCAAACGGACCTTGTTATAAATATTAGCGTCGTCGTTCCTTTACGCGTAATCCAACGCGATCCCGCCAACTTGAACGTGACCGTCTCTCCGTCTCCGTCTCCTAGTTACTCGGAATCCAAAACACCGAAAGGCACGTCCCGTCCAAGAATTCTTTCGAAAAATTAATTTCCTCGCCGCAAACGACAAACGGTATCTCCGACGGTATCTCGGAAATATCTGGAAATAACGTATCGAGATGCGCGTGTCTAACACGCGTACGAGCGCGTTAAGTGACTCGAGTTTATCATTTGGAAATCGGATAGGGCCGTAAATCGACGTTGCGATAAATCACCCCCGTCGCCTCATCTCGCGTCGGTTTTATGGAGCGGACGTCGCGTCGCGTCGCGTCGCGTGGCGTCGCGTGGCGTCGCGTCGTGTCGTCTCGTGGAAAATGTTCCACACGGTCGAGAGCACCACCCCACCACCCCTCTTGGTCCAGCAGCAGACACGTCGCAGATGGACAGATGGGAATCACGATTAACTCACGCACAATGCGGCGTGCGAGTGTCGGCGTGCGTGCACGGGGCGTTGCTCTTTTCGTGTGTATGTACAGGGGGTGTCCCTGTTAATTTCGGAGAAATCGATGCCACCTCGCCAGCGTACACCCAGACAGCACGGGCAGACACTCGGACTGCGTGTGCGAGTAAGAAGAAGGATGAAGAATCGCGAGGATTTTTTGAACGTGGAACGAGGGGACGATGATCCGTTCAAATTCAGCTCAACTCCGAGAACGATATATATTTGTTCCTCGAGAATCGTTTCCGCGTATTAGGGACGTATCAATCAGGATTAGAGTGGAATTAGATTCTCGGAGGGAACAAAGGTCGCGCGCGTCCCGAGACGGACATCCCGAGTCTGAATAACGACGATTGTTTCCGATTGCGAGAGATTGGAAGAGATAGTTGGGCTGGCGACGCGTCGCTTTTCGTCGCTTCATTGTTTTACTCCGGACGGATCGGTGTCCGGCGTATGGAGGGGAAGCTAGGCGGTGAACCGATTGAAAACGAGGGGACAGCGTTGTAAAATCCATCGACAGGTTCAGCTCGGTTCTGAGATTCTTTGACGTTTCTGATACTTCTGTACAATTTTTCTAGCAGAATCTAGACTCTCTTCTTCAAACATTTTTGTGGCTGTGCACGCAAAGTAAACATTTCCTTTAAATCGATAATTCGCGATAACGCCAACGAGAAAGCGTCGTTTAACATCGTAGTCGTAGGTGGTCAATCAATGGAAACGTCAGGGACGCACGCTGATGGTCGTTCCGTGGAGTTTCATCGAGCGTGACGACGATCGAGTTATCGAGTTACGATCGGTCGAGGGTCGTAAAAGCCACGTAAGGTCTTATCCCCTCTTATGTCAGGGAAATCAATGATCGTTCGTTGCAAAATGAAACAAACGGGACGAAAGAGATTCACTGGATTGGCTGGATTCAGATTCATCCCAACGCGTTCCAATTCACGAGGTAGATTTCAATTTACGTCGCGAAACAATCCACGCTTTTACGTGTTTCAACGGTCATTGCGGGAGCCTCGTTGTTATTTCTAGAGTCTCAACTTCTAATTTTATCTGCGTCGACGCGCGTGATACGCAACGCCGCCGTTCGTTCTCAGTGATTTCGGTTTTTGGCGGACAAACTACGAGTCGTTGGGAAAACAACAAACTGTCGGAGGAAATGATCGCGAGGCTGCTCGGAGATTCGTAATGTTGCTTTTTTCCCCCGAGTTTCGCGACGTCTTTTGTACGAAAAAAGGGGGGCGCGGCGTTTCTACGAAGCAGCAGCAGCCAGACTTAGAAGGAACGCATCGTGATGTAGGATGATCGGAGAGGGAAGGCAGAGCGTTAACTCTATCTCTCTCTATCTCTCTCTTTTTCATCCCTGAGAGCAGAGAGGAAAAGAGAGAGAACGAAAAAAGAATCTGGAAACAGGGCTCCACGAGAGACGGTATCCCAATAAATATGAAGACAACAACGACGGTGCCTGTTATGCCTGAAACAGGTTGGAGCTAATTCGGCGCTCCCTCCCTCTCACCTCGCCATTTCTTTCCTTCTCTCTTTCCCTGTCTATCTATCCATCTATCTACACGTTTCTCTCTTACACGGTCTTTCTTTTTCCTCTCTTTTGTGACTGCGCCTTCTTCTTCCTCCCTTTCCTCTCTCTCTCTCCCTCTCTCTTTCTAGAGAGCCGCTTAAATCGCTCGATTCAACGGTTCGGCCGATTCGGAGGTTCTTATTTTCCCTTTGCTTCTACGCTTTACGTTTCTTGGCCGCGTCGTCCCTCCTCGTATCCCCCTCGTGTACCGTCGTTCCTTTTTACCCGCGCGTCCCGTGCGTGCAAGAGCTTTTTGTTCAACGCTGAAACCTCCCCATGCCATGCTCGCTTCTTTCATGTGTGTTGCGTACGTGTTTTTCTTTTCTCTGCATCTCTCTCTCTCTCTGTTGCGTTACAGTGCTGGCTGTACTGCGAGACCCTCGAGAACCAGTGGGAGAAGACAAGAACCATTTGCGAGGGCGACCAGTATCTACATGTAAGTAAATTTACGGGTGAAACGGCCTTTCGGATTAGGGGAGAGTTTGTACTACGGAGGGAATTTTCGGTCTCTTATTCGGTCCGGATCTTGTTCGCAAAGGAGGAGAAACTCGAAAAGGGAGGTATATCTCGAGGTATCGAGACGAACTAGGATTCTCTCGAGGTCGAGCTTTTACTTTTACGCAGGCAGTTTTACGACGTCGAAACAAACGCGTACAATTACGACGAACGTTTCAACTGTGTTTCGTTTCGGTCGAGTCGCCGGACCGAAATCTCGAGCGTTGGAAAATTCGGAGCGATCAGGCGCAAAGGAGAAACCTCTGTTATGTCGAGGTTATTACGTTACCTTTGAAAATTTCAAAAGCCCAAGTAAGAAACCGAGAGAGATGTATCGGCGAAACGAGAGGAGAGAAATAACTGTCTGAGACGGGAGAACCACCGACGGGAGAACTGAAAAAGAAAAAAAAGAAAGAAATTTCTTTAGAAACGGCTACCTGTCGTTTTTCACGAACGGTTGGGTCGCTTTGTCGTGGCAACCAACGAATTTCAACTCTTCGCGTATCGATCTCCGTCAAGACCGAGGAACCTTTTTCAAATATTTGCAGAGCGGCCGACTACCGCGTTTAATTAAATCCGGGTATACCGGGACGGGAACGGAACGAAAGACGTTAGTACCCGCTTAGTTAGTGCGATTCCGCGAGACGAGAGGATCCTTTCTTTCTACTGAACGGTCGGTCGATCGTCTGTCTCCGCTTTAACACGCTCGTTGAAGAATTGACGCAAATCGAGCAAACTGTTCGGGAGCTTCGTTTAAGCCACGGGTGTCCAACCAACCACCGTCTTTACCGATTTTAGATCTTTCGAGCCAACAAAAATTTGTCGAGGACCGCGCATAGTTTACGTATTTCTTTTTTTCTTTTTTTTTTGTCAGTTCAATGTAAGTTATATTATTGACGGGGACTGTAACTTTTATAGTGAAATATACGATACATTGATTAGAAACATAAATATTTATATTAATTAAAAAGACGTGGAGAACGATTTTTAACGAGAACAATGAGAACGCTTGTTTCTTTAAGGTACCAGTTCATCAATATATTTGGTTGGACACACGTAGTCGCAACACGAAGAACTTTTCTGCGCGAAAAAAAAAAAAAAAAATCTGCTCGTAAATACAAGTAGTACTCCCCGAAAAGGAGGGACACAGTCGTAGACACAGTGGTTGTTCGAATTTTGTGGTTATAGGGCGCGTTATGGTTATGGCGGTTAAGGGTTTAAGCGGAAGCGAGAATGGGAAAGGGCTCCGACGAGGAAAAGCTGACGATGCGCGTCTGTTTCAGTGCCCGGCCTGCCAGACAGCCTGTAACTATCGCCAGACTAGGATAGAGGAAAAGTATTTGCCGTCCATGTTGCCAACGCCGGAGAAGGCACCCGTGGTGTTGGACAGGTTCGACGTGGCGGTGATGATGCGCAACGTTCGCGACGAATGGAGAATAGTCGGATACTTTCCGGGCGAAACAAGGCCGGAGCTGAAGCAAGATACCTGGATCGTTGTCGCGACGGAGAACGGCGTGAAGCGGCACTACAGTTGGCAAGAGTGGGTTCCAAAGTTGGAGTCTTTGAAGAAAGGTTTCTTCTACGAGGCGACCGTCTCGTGGAAGGACGTCGACGCTCAGATTCAGAGGCAAAAGTCATTGGAAAAGGCCAGAGCCAACGACCGACTGAGACAGGCGTTTCTGGAAATCTACGGCGAGAAGGTGCTGGCCGAGTGGAAGAGCCAAGAGTTCATTCGCATCTCGAAAGAGGTGTTCCGAAAATTCTTCTTCAAAGGTGGAAAGAACGATTTCGAGGTGGACAACGCACCTCCCAAAGCAGTTTACAACGGCAGGATCCGCGTGGAGGAGGCAAGTCGCGAGTCGAAGAAGAAGGAATCGTACGTGGTCTGCTGGCAGCCGGAGACGGGAGGTCTTAAGGGAAATCAAGTGACGGACTCGAATTCCGCGCAGATTTCCCTGTTGCCTGGAACGAAATACCTCGTGAGGATCGCTTCGAACGAAGGGCCTGGCAGCTTCCCCATCGAGGTGGACACCAGGTTTAATCCCGAGGAAGCTACGAACATACAGCGAGCCGTCCAGCAATTATTTATCTGGGAAATTTACGTGGCCTGCGCTTTTATCATTTGTTTCGTAATCTCTCTCATCCTGACATTGATCTACGGAAAGTCCAAGACCGCCAAGTGCGAACGAGTCTGAAGGCCAATGTCCCTTCTTTTTCGTTTCCCCCCCTTTTTTCCTTTCTTCGTTCGAGGACGGACAAACGTTGACGTAGCATCCGATCGATGACGAACGACGCAAACTCAGGGACTCGGACTTGTTTGCATCGACGCGAGATGGAATCCTCGCGAACCGAACGGAGGAAACGATCGCGTCGCAGCTTGACCGTCTGTACAGGTGTAAGGTACTCGGTTGCTTGGAAAAGTAAAAGAAAAAGAAACGAAACCAAACCGAGTCAAACGGAGTCGAGGGCGTGTAAGCGGCGTACTCTTTGTAAGAGTTGCGATATCGCCACCACCACGATCGCATCGTTGTAAATGTCGACGAGAAAATGTACAAAAAAAAAGCTATTTTTCTACGTGTAATAGGATACAAATTAAACGATTCCTTGCTCATCGCGCAACGAACAGACTGCAAGAAAAGTTCCTATCGACGAGAAGTAAAAATTGGCGCCGTTTGAGGTGTCGATCACTGTATTTATTTGTGTACATACACACGCATGTATAGATTATAGATTATATGTATGTGTATATATATATATACATATAGCTCGGAAACTTGTTGTACATAGATCTTGAAATATGAATAAATTACTTTTGGCGAGAAAAAAGAAGAGAGAAGAAGAAAAGAAAATCTTTTTTGTGTAAAATAATATAATCCCATCGTGTGTGAGTAGATGCTGGCGTCTCGGCGCGTAAGCGGCTTATGTCTAATAACACCAGGACTTTCTAAATACCCTACTTTTTTGTATCCCGCGTCGGTTCGCTTCTCTCGTTGCCTTTCGGATTAATGTCGGATAACGCGAAGGAACGCGTGGCTGCAGGATGGAGAAGAGAGGAGAATAATCACGCGGAGGATATTAAACGACGTTTTCAAGCATAGGTAGCCAGCGTAGTGGACGGACGAGAGAAAATTTTTGTTAGAGGCGCGGTTCGAGTGGTTCGACTTGTTAGAGGTAACGATCTCGGTGTTACCACCGTGTCCCGAGAGAAAGAGAAAAGTACGCGAGCGAATGAACCGTTAATCGGGACGAAGCGGCCCGAAAGAGTGCGCGGCGAATCCTTTCGAGACTGTTTTAGGAACATGTTTCCACTGGGTGACGATGGCGTGACGATGGCCAACTGGCGAGTGCGAGCTCTCGCAACCACCAGGCGTACTACCACGAGTCGTAGAAGAGTGCGTCGAACTTTCCCGAACGGATAATAAACTCGTAGCGAGTCGACGAAAAAAGTCAACACGGAGAGAGCGTGTCGCGTACGCATACGCATACTCATACTCATACGCGATCTCGCGCGGCTGCCACAACCACGATCGAAAAAGTGTGCCGTGACCTCGAACAAGGTCCCGTTATCCAAGCCGAAGCCTTGGACGCGATCGTCCTCAGTCTTGACTCGGAAGTCGAGCAAAGATGATACTGCTGCTCGCTTGTCTCAGTCTGCTGGTCGGCCCCGGTGAACTGGGCAACCTGTACAATGGCCATCCTAGCGGTGTCACCGCGATTTTCGGGATCGGTGTGCTGCCCCTCGGATTCGCAGCCGGACCCAGGTATCCTCGTTGAGCGTGTACAGTAGGTGACAAAGTCGGCGAACATACCATACCGTAACGAACATACCATATCCTGGTATGCTATTTGCGAATTGTTCGTTTGAAATATTGAAAATCAACAAGAACGAATTCGTTTCTTTCGCGCAAGTGCAATAGTCGAATAAAATACCATGATCACGTAAAATACAGTTTCACAAATCTTACACGTAGCCCCGCGGTGCGAGGTGTTTGTTATACAAACGTGTGTGTTTGGTACTCGAGCGTAAAGATCTCTCGCGAAATTGTCTCGTTGTCGGATTTGTTCGCAGTGTTCCGGATCGATCACCACTCACTTGCACGACACTCTTTCGACAGATTTGTTTCCGTGAAAGTTTTTCGAATTCTCTTGCATTCGGGGAATTCCGTGTTTCCGACACTTTGCATCGACAGCGAGCGCAAACGCCTAATCTTTGTCCGAAAAGTAAGAATTAGTCCAACGTGTGAATCGATTGCCGCGGAGTTTGTCGAAAATTAGGACGCGAAAAAGGAGAGATTGAGATCTCGCGTCGGACGATTGACGTACCGTTACTATAATTGTTGCATGTCGTTATGTTAAATGCCGTTCTCCTCGTTCCATTATCCTACATATTCAAAGTTATTCTAATAGCAACGATCGAAGTAGTCTTTCGAATTGCTCGAATTGTGTTATTGACGTAACGACTGCATGATTTTCGTACGTTTTTAGTTACGTTTTTAGTACGTAAATAATTCCTTCGACGCGTGATTTAGATACGTTCCGAAATGGAAGAAGCAAGCCTGTGAGATACCAGCCTCTCAACATCCAAACTCGCACTACGTTTGCGACGAGGCCGGAGAAGTGAAGTGTTTGCCAGGTGAGAAAACAAACGTACGACACGTCGTCGCAGTATTCGTCATCGTGGACGTGACATCGTAGAGACCCGATGACATTCCGCTTAATATATATATATATATATATATATATACGATGCTGGTCTTTCTTTTTTTGTTCTTTTCTCCACTTCCAGGATGGACCGGCGATTTGTGCGACGTGCCGATCTGTCGGAAGGGGTGCGATCCTCTTCAGGGTTACTGCCGTCGACCCAACGAATGTCGCTGCAAATTGGGCTTTTACGGCGAGCTCTGCGACAAGTGCGTGGCACTGCCGGGATGTCAGCACGGCAGGTAATCTCTCGTCGCGTTTATTCTTCACGCGTACACCCGAGCATTCTCGATTTCGATTTCTCGTGCGATACAATACCATCCTAGCAGGTGTGTGAGCTACGCGATCGTAGTGCCAATAACCGACTCGTGGTGAGAAATTCGAGGCAAACGGACCTAGGAACCACGAGTTGCGTCAACCTTGGCCACATTTATTGATATATTGTCTTGAAAAAAAATCAGTATTTATTTGAAATTGAAATAAAGTGAGTTACCGACACGTTACATACTTTCAGATTATAAATCATTTTTCTTCACTGATAAATCGTTGGTATCTCTTACGAAAGACTCTGATTTATTTTGATACGTTTATATTTAATTTGAATCTTAATGATGATCTAAAACGATACCACGTTTTAAAATAAACTACCCTCTTTGGGGGAACTCTTTGATAAAGTTTAATATTACAAAATTGATTTAAATACGAGCAACTAGAAATAGATCTCAGGATCTCACCTTACAAACCATTAAACCGGTTGTTGTCTGACATTTTTATACATCTATGCGCCACAAAGCTACATGGGACATACTTTTGTTTGATTACTGATTGTGAGTGTAACATGCGTGGCATCACGACTTAAATCACAGTGCAGGGGGCACTTAATAGCAGAGACGTGAATCGGGCACTGCCACTGATTTCACCTCGGCCAGTGGCAAGCCCGTTCAACTCAATTCCCGTGTAACTCGAAACGTCTAATCCTCCCTGGTCCGTTGAATATCGATCGCGCGCGAAAGCTTACGCTCGACATGGAGGAGACATTGACCGGAAGGAATTTTCCACTTTTAGCTGTAACGTGAGCTTCGAATGCTCCTGCGATCCTGGATGGAAGGGCATGTTCTGTTCGGAGCCGATCTGCGCCTCCGATTGTTTGGCCAGCCAAGGATACTGCGAAAAACCGGGGGAATGCAGGTGAGCAAAAACGGTGGAGTGGAGTGAAGCGAAGCGGTGGATCGGAACAATTTACGAATCATTTACGAGATAATCGTAAAGGTTGCAAAATCGGCGAGATTCACTGATTTGACGAGAAAATTCGTCAACGTTTCGTCGTTCCGATTCTTTTCGTTAACGCTAACCGCGTGGCAGAACGCAACGCAAGAAGCAGACGCAGCCACGACGTGATTTGACAGCTCGGTTTTTCGTAGATGTCGATTGGGTTGGCAGGGACCAAAGTGCAAACAATGCGCCGTTTTGCCAGGTTGCGTGCACGGAACGTGCCAGGGTCCGCTGGAATGTCGCTGCGAGCCAGGCTGGACTGGACTTCTCTGTCAAACGCGTAAGTTGTTTGTCCACGTTTTTCTCCCCTTAGTCGTTGGTCGCAACTCAAGTAAGTCGTCGTCGTCGTCGTCGTCGTCGTCGTACGTAAGCCCCGAGCAAACACGTGATAATATGCGCGACGAATAAATCTATCGAAAGTTGCTCGTTTCTCTCTCCGTGTTTAGCGATTTGCTCGCAAGGATGCAGCCGAGAATACGGCGGTTGTCGTCGTCCGGGGACGTGTAGGTGTCGCGTGGGTTGGACAGGTCCGAACTGCACCGAATGCGTCCCTTATCCCGGTTGCGTTCACGGGTCCTGCAAACGGCCGTGGGAGTGCCGATGCGAGCCCGGATGGGCGGGCGATCTCTGCAACGAGAAACTCATCTACTGCGACGAGCATCCAGCCATCTGTCGCAACAACGCCACTTGCGTCAGCATGACCAAAGAGGACGGCGATTACAGGTGAGCTACAGGTAGGTGATTGGCGATCGACGGAACTCTCTTTAACGGGATTTCGATTGCAGATGTATCTGTCCTCTCGGCTACATGGGTCGTCAGTGTCAGATCAAAACGATGGTGCCGCCGACCGAGTTGACACCACCGATGCCGGACCAACACCTCGACGACGAGGTTTCAGAGGCGAAACCTCAGATGATTCAAACGACAAACGCAGAAATAATCGAGAAGCCCGTAGAGAGTGTAGACGAGAAGGACAAGGGAGACAAAAATAGGATAAGAAACGAGGAACAAACGGCCGAACCGATTGGGCCGATCGTTATCACGGATCCACCGTCGACCATCGATCCTGCTGCTACCGTAGGAAAATGGCCAACCGAGCCACCTACGGAATCGTCCGTCACGCAAACGGACGATGAAAACGAGACGTGAGAGAAAAGGGAAAGGATTTTAATTTCTGCGAATTATCGCGTTATATTATACTCTTTCGTTGTTATTTATCCGAGTATTTAATTTATTTATTTTAAAGCTAAAGTCGACTTATTTTAATTGTACTCATGTCACGACAGATTGTTGCACAGATAAATTATAAATCGTAGTGTGTTAGAAGACAAGGATTCTTTTTCTTCTTTTATTTTACCGTTATCGAGCGAACGATACGTAAGAGGAAAAGCGACGTCGCAATATCAACGATTTCATATCCTGAATAAACGTAGCCGCGCATTCGTAGTAATCGACTTGGATCGAAAATCTAAAATTTCAAACGCGGACACCGTAACGGACACCTGTGCGAAACATCTCGATTTTCTGAAATAATTTGCCGTTGAAGCGATCGTTGGAGCGTCTTGCAATCTCGAAGCCAATTATCGTTTTTAATGGACGGCCACGAGAATATAAATAGTACTTGGTATTCTTCGAGTATCAAGGGTAGTGCAGTAGTGTCCGTACTCTCTTGCTATAAACGTTACATATGTGGAACGTTACGCTCGAAGGAGCACATGTTCGATGTTACACGACGCAATGGACAGTACACCGTTCACGCGTGTCGTTTCCCATCGATGTACAATGTACGATATACGTATATTGTACGACACGATATGTATCGTACACTACTGTATCGCACGCGTCTAGATCGGCTGCTCGTGTCTACGTAACGATCGACTGTCCAAGTCTCGTGTCCCTTACGTAACGTAGTGCATTTTTAACACCGGAACGTCCAAAGAAATTCCGCCTGCAGAAAGTTCAGTTTTTCGAACGGTCCAACTTCGAGACCGGCTTTGCAGTACCTACCTGTCTTTCAACATAAAATGAACTTTTTAATACAAAAGTTTTCGAGAACGGAGGATTAACTTTCGAGCAACTACAGACGAGAATCTACAAAATCGCTGCCTACCAAACAACCACTGCTAATTGAATTGACAAATTTCTTGTTTAAATTTTCACCAAAGCTCGTCGATTAGCGCATCTGAACTGCAGCTTGGTTGCTCACGGTCGGCGTATCACGATCGCGCGTTGCGCGAGTCGTGGGATATAACGTTCATTTACGTTTTGCTCCACTGCGCAGCCAATCCAGGTTGGTATGATTCAATCAACGTTTTCAAGTCATCATGCTTTTAATTACGGCGATTGTGCCTTGCCTTTCACCGATTGAAGCCGGGCAATCGGGAAAATAGACGTTTTACCCAACGGTCAATCCATCATCTAAAAAGTCCAAGATCTAAAAATGAAGAATGGCCACTTTCTGAAAAATTTTTACTGAAAGATCCTACTTGGCGATCCTAACTGTTTAATAACAATCGACAACTACAGTTATTCCGATTGGCAACCGCGTAACCGTGATTCGAAGATTCGTCTACCCACGAATAATGGAAAAGGACTTGGGAGCGCAGATAATGGAAAATAAATACCTAAGAATCATCTTAAACAAGCAACGGGACACACCAGCAGCACTTCTCCACCAAATGGCCAACATATCCACCATTGAACGATTCATCCGAAACTCCGTCCAAAAGTCATATGATTTTAGTCACCCCAACTAACTCTCACCCTCATCCGCGGCACTGGCAATTACACAGAATTGAAGACTTTCCACTCAAGATTAGGGTCACACTCCCCAAACATGTTAATCTCACATAAACCAAAAACTACCACGAACCACAGCTCACAACTTTCAAGGAATCTGCAGGTTGTTTGAAACTTTTCCTGCATACACAACTTTAACAAACTCCCCGCGCAAACGTTAAACGACATCACCATACTACACTAATCATTTCTAAAAATAACGTAGGTAATGGGGCGCAACAAACCCAAGGCATTGCCTCGTAAACAACGACTTCCCGACAAAAAAAAAAAAAAAAAAAAGAAACAACTAACTGGTTTTTGGCAATCGCACAGCGCGCGACAGTATCATACTCACTCAAATCGCATCTTATCGTTTTACGAATTCAAGCTCTCTCTTACGACAATCTACATTTCTCAATCATACCAATCCAACCCCAAAACAACTCTCCCTTGAACCAGCTGACTTTCATTAACGTTGAAAGACAGCAAGCCACCGACGCAACAATGAGAAGCGCGAGAATGTATGCAGAACTAGCTAACTATAATGACAAGTGAGTTCTGTAAGAAAAATTGATTACTCATGGGTACGTATTTAACGTATTTGTATTGCGTACACGCGCGAGACCTCTACACGGGACAAAATTCTCCACTCTGGGAAAAGGGTCTGCGGCGAAAAGGGTTGAAAGGTTAATTGCAGGATCAATCGGGCGCCACTTAAAATTTCAGATAGTTTTACGAGAGTCCGTCCTTCGTTAGCGTCGACTAGTTCTACCACTGAGTCAGCGTCGTCGTATCGCAGCACAGGCACGATCCTTCTTTCACCGTGGCTAACGAAGCACGTCTAGAGATCGGCCTGTCTTTCAACGTACTTTGATAATCGTTCTTCTTGGAACGTCAGGCCTCGTCATACCAAAACGAACTTTATTTCTCAGAAAGGTTTTGTGTATCGTGTATCGTGAATATTTGGTGGGACAGTGGGTAGTGGTATAGTTTACTTTAAGTCATTGAAACCTGGAGAAACAACAGTTACTGCAATTACAACGACTGCGTTCCAAGTGTAGGCAATATTTTTACAATGTAATTCTCGTTTATAACAAAGAGTATATTTTCTTGCTAATCTGAAGACTGACTCCGACGTGCGATCTCGGCGACGTTCTGCAGAAGGAATGTCGCCTGGCTTCCTTCTCTAGTTCGGGTATCCTCCTCGGTCCGGATACCCTAGCTCAGTTTACAAGCGTCGGTTATAAACATTGGAATCGGCCCATGGTCCTTAATCTCGAGTGGCCTCGACGAAATAGGCGAGGAAGTCTTCCCACGCCTAGGAACGGGCGGCCTAGCCCGTTGACGTTCGCTCGCACAAATTGTTGGAAATTGTTGGGCAGAAAAGGCCGTAACCCTCCAACAAATGCAAAATAATTGATTACTTATGGGTGATGTATGCATCGTAGAGCACAAGGATTTCTTATTAACAACTACTTTTATATCGAGAATATAAAACGATCAACGAAGAAGCAAACGAAACAAGGAGAAAGTCAAGCGTGCAGCTACAGAGTTGCAACGACCGAACGGAAAGGAAATTTATAGCGGCAACAGGTTACGTAGTTGAACCGTGCTGAACTGAACTCGAATCCGACGTTGAGAAAATTTATTTCTCTTCACTTCCAGCTGCTATACCGTACGAATTGACTACTTTAGAGTCACTGGGATACTACTAGCAAGTTCAGAGGGAAATTTCCTACTTTCCGTGGTTCGATAAATATTTCAACTTGGCTTTGTACGGGAGATGCGAGGGAGTATCGATAACACGGATAGACACGAATCGACCGAGATGTTAACACGCGACCAGCGTGGCTGTAAACGTTGCACCAGAAAACGAGAAAACGTCGGGGATCTACTTGTCTGCATGACCGACGTTCGATTTTCAAACATGCACCGATGGAATCCGCTTGATGAAACATTTGATGAGAAAACAAAGATACTGCAGTACGCTTCCAGAGTTTATCAGAGTTTCCCCGACTGTCGAATTTACTTAGTGCCGTGAGTAGTCGAACGAGAAGAAAAATTTGTCAACGCGGTTAGAAAAAGAAAAAATCTCTCACGAATGATTTCCTTTTCGATCGATCCATCGTTCGCGACCAATTGTTCAATTTTCGCGATCAAAAAGATTCCAGATTTGTAATTGCACAAACATACCGATACGCAGACGTCTGCTTGCGAACGTTCCGCCGGAATGAAAATCGACCATAGAAGCCGGAAGGGAAAGGGCTCTTTGAGCTTTCTCTCTTTCTCTCTTCCTCTCCTTCTTCGTTCGTTCGTTCGTTCGTTTGTTCGTTTCCTATCAGTGTGGCCCGGAGATTCGTTCAAACGTTTCCCCATAAACAGGGGATGATCTGTTGGACGATGAAAGCGCAGCGTGTAATTACGTTGCGGCGAGAGCTACGCGACGTACGTAGGTGTGTGTGCTCGCGGGGACTGGTCGCTGCTCGTGACGTACGCTTGAATTTTAAGTTTCACCTGGATATGTCGACTTGCAGAAATGCTGTTCTACCAGATGGCGACGGCTGGAATTGCAAATATTCCAGCAATCACCGAGCCAACGAGACTGCCGGTATCTCCTTCGGTACCGGCTTCGAGCAAATATACGCGAATCTTTCTTATTCTTGTAAATTCGATTGAAAAAATCGAATTTGCTCTTTACGTCGGTGCGTTCTGACAAAGGGCTCGACCTCCCGCTGTTCGATGACAATCACGATGAATATCTGTCAGTCTGTTGGTCGTAGAACCGGTTAATGATCGTTACGTAACACCGCGCCGCGCCGGTTATCGAGTCCAAGCATCTAATTTTACGTATGTACGTTACAGTGTGCTGTCTCGTTGTCTCTGTAGCAGTTAGTTACACCGTAAGCCAGTTGCAATCCATAACGCACATCACCGCTATACCCACCGATCCGATCCGATCCGAGCTACGATGCAATGCATTCTTCCAAGTGGCACGATTGCGTTTCTTTCAGGCAAAGAAATCGCTGAGCGTAACGCGCGTGAGAATCTTCTCTCTTTCTTCTCTCTTCTTTCCCGAAGAAGCAGCAGAAGAAGAAGAAGGTACGTCGTCGATCGAGTATTAAATGAGAAAAGAACGTAAGAACGGAGTGTGTACGTAAATAGTAGATAGATTACGATCGACAGAATCGTCTCGATAGAATGTGTTGGACGAAATTAGAAACGTAGGGACGCACGAATCGGTCAGGTTAAATTACCGAATCGTCAAATTATTTTTGACCCGCTATAGCTATAGCGCAATCGCTACGTACGTAGTAACGAGACATAGATTTCCCTTTTGATTAATCGCTGCTCGTTCTCCTGACAGCAGACAGTGATTCTAATTATCGCGTGAAGTAATTTCTGCTCGCTTTAAGAACACAGTAAAATTACTCGGTCACCGATTAGGCGAACCGCGTAGTAGTCTCGATCGATCGTTATCGATGCACGAGAGTTGTACAAATTTTACCGCGTTGTTGCATCAACGCCTCGTTGCCACGCGATTTCTTCCATCATCGATTTTCGATCGATCCACGATCGCGCACATATGGATCTCTGTCGTACGTACGTACGTACGTATGTATGTCGTACAGCGAGTTTCAAGAGGTCGTGAAGAAGAAAAGTTTCAAAATCATGGTAGATAATCACTGACGAGAAAAGAAATTTTTTTAATGTTTTCACACACGCGTTTGAATTTTTACAATTTTCGAGGAAAATGTGTCTTCAGTTTCCCACCCGGCACGTGATGTAAAATCATCTTTGAAAGAAACGAACTCGCGACTATCAAAATAGAAGCTTCGCTTATAAAATGAGACCTGATGATCTTTTCTTACAATCTTGCATCAGTTTAAGCGAATAAATGTTTCGCAATTTTTCGCAATTGTTATTGGTACAATTATGCTCTTCGTTGTAGTTTGCAATGCTCGGATTGCTAGTCGCACGGTTTTCGTACGCACGTCTCTGTCACGGGCGTCACGCAACATCGTTAGTTGCAAACGATTAACGCGTGTGGTTGCCTCTGTTGCTTGGTTGCCTGTTGCACACACACACACACACACACACACACACACACACACACACACACACACACACACACACACACACACACACACACACACACNGCACGCACGTTATACGTTGTACATTATACATATACATTGAGATTGCCGCGTTACTTACCCTTCACCAGATCCTGCTCGGATGCATTTCGCGCGGGATAATATCGTTCCCTGAGATCGCGATCGTGGCCAATAGCGATCTTAAAAAGAAAAAGGCAAAGTAATTGGCTTTCGTTAAACGTTGAGCTTTCGTTGCTGTGCTATTCGGCCATCGTCGATCGAATTCCTCGTTACTTTCGAGAGTTTCAACTGTATTCAGTGTGTGTAAGAGTACGAAGAACAGTTATGCACGAGACGTACGAGACAAGATTGAGATAGATTTTCGATTCGAAGGTTCTGAACGGTCAAAGCAGTCCTCTTGCCAGAAAGTTTGTCCCCATTCTTGCCTCGTAGTCAGATGCTCCTTTTGTTGCACCATTTGTTTCAGAAGGCAAAGCAACTTGCTGCTGGGATTTCCCAAGTTTATCGGAAACTTTTATCGGAACGAGTCTCGAAATCGCGTCTATTTGCATAAAGTAGGGTATAAAATTTACACGTAACGACGTGTAGAAAAAGCGCGTGTATAAAAATTTATAAAGGTAAACGGTTTGTCAACTTGTTTGTACATAGTTGCAAATATTTCTCTCTCGCGTTGGCTAAGATTTTAGGAGCGATAGCAGCTAATCCGTGCCGGTATTTGCGACCAGTTGCGTGCCACAGACATTTGTCGATACGCATTGACACGCATGAACCTATCGATCACACATATATAGGTGACCGTATAAGTAATAACCGACCTAGATTCGATTTCTCGGAGGTCAGGAACATGAATATGAATGTTGCGCCTCGATGCGTGTAAAAAGATTGCGCGTGTTTCTTTCGCGTAGCCTCGTAGAACGGTGAAAATTACCAAGCACGCTTGTCACCGTTGTTATCGGTGTCGACCAATTCATTTCCATTAGGCGAGTTACGTACGTATTAATTATACAATCTGGCGTGCGTTACACTACGCGCCCATCGTCACTCACCACTGTCATTAAGACTACCCAGTTATTCAGATCCGCGCGAAATTAAACAAAGATTAAACGATCGGAGATTCATTGTAATTGTCGGTGGAGAAGAAAAAAAAAAAAAAAAAACTATTTTTGTAGACAGATCAAAACTAGTAAAAATAAAAGCAACAAACTCTCACGCAATAAACACGAATACAGAGCTCGAAGCATACTGCGAAAACGGGAAAGGAGTTACGTTCGCCTTCAAATACGAACCTTTCGCAGTAAGATTGGAGGTGGGAGACGTCGTATCGTGACGGAGCGCGCATTTTCAAAACGAATTCAACAGCGGGCGACATGGATGATTACATAAGAGAAGAAAGCAGAAAATGTATTGTAATTTTTAGTTAAAGTGTGTTGTGCTGGACTCGACACATCGATCTGAAAAAGGTGGTGAAAAATGTTCGGTCTAGCGCGGACGTTTCCATCGTCTTTTTCCATCGGCCGACATCGAGTTTCCGATTCAAGGCAGTCGGGAGCAACAAGAGAGGAATTACCAGGGGCTGGAAAGGAACGCCCCGCGGCGGCGTCCGTTCGTCGCGTCGCTTGTATAACTAATCTTCGCGGTAGGTAGGTTTGTGACCTACCGTAAGAAGGTCTCTGCCACGGTCGATTTCAATTAGCTTGAATTGGCTGCTCCAGTCGCTTGAGTTAGCCTTGCTATTGTCCTTTGCTATTGCTACCGAACAACAACGTGTTTGCTCCCGTCTGGAGAACGATGCCGTCACCTACTTCTAACTTACATCAGACTGTCGAGCGATAATAAAAGTCGCGTGCCGCTTGATCGACCGACAATTTCCGATACACTCGTGCCGTAGCGTGGCTAGGTGTATCATTATCGACACGTATTATTGGCACTATCAAGTCCAAGCGTGCGTGCGACTGATGCAATTCGATCGAGAAATTGATCGGTGAAAATTTCGAAGGTTTTCGCGCAGCTGATTCTTGAAATGTCGTGCTTTCGAACGCTGCAGCGTACCTGCTGCCTACTACCTACCTGGGACCCAGGATCGAGCTGACGCAACCTCGCGAGTGAAAAGTAGGTAAATACGATCGCGAATGTACTCGATGAATACGACTCGTGTGAACGATTGTAATTAATCGGTAGCTCGTTAGCAGTAAATGACACGACTAACGTCGAAAGGAGTTCCACTCGCGGATGAACTGCATCCCATCTATGAATAAGTGCAGCAAAAGACAGTTGTCCGAATGTTTCGACGGTCGATCGAATTAGGTGTCTGTGTGTGTATGTGTGTGTGTGTGTACGCTGGCAATAAAATTTTTCGTGCCACGCCGTACCGACTACGTTCGCCAGGAAACATGCTCCGTCTCTCTTTTCTATCTACCATTTCACCAATATTCGAATTGACGTAACAATTATCGTATTATTTATTAGCGATCGTCCAACGTATGTTTGTCAACGTTGCATTTTTTTCAGCTTTCACCTTTCGGTTGGATTTCGTTTAACGCGCTAGAACGTAGTTAGAACCAGTTTCACTAAACTTTTGAAATCCCCGTGACTCGACAAAGCGAAGAAACACTCGCTTGTTTCTCGCGCGTCGTTTCTTCGATTTTTTTTTTTTTTTTTTTTTTTTTTTTTTTTTTTTCTAGCGAGAAAATTGCGATCGATGTCGTTCGATCGAAATTTTTAGCGATGAACATTTTAATTTTGATCTTTTTAGATTTGATCTTTTTAGATTTGATCTTTTTAGATCGTGCATTTTATTTTCGTTCGATTTCTGTTTCCTTCGAATTTTCCTTTTCTGCTTTTCTTTTTTTTTTTTTGTCAAATATCTCATTCAGAGGAGAATCCTGCACGAACAGTACGAGGATTAGCAGTTGGCAGATAGGTAGGTACGCGAAGCAAGGATAATTTCGGGAAACCGAGCATGCTTGTTAGCTGTGTGTATAACGTCCAACGTTACTTTGGTTTACGTAAGGCGGATCTTGATGAACAGAAACGGCGCGGTTACCGTTTTCACCGGGCCGACTATCGGGCAGAAAGTGAGAGCTGAGAAAGGATCGATAGGAATTCATCCTGTTATCCTGCTTGAATTTTTCTCTCGCGTTTCGTTTCTCTCTCTACTCCGAACGCGACAAATTTCTCTCTCGAGCGTTTTCGTCGATTCGAAAATAGTCGAGGAGATGGGACAATTTGTTTGTTCATAGTCGCATTTAAGTCTGATTAAGGCAGATATTCCGGTTCTCAAACGGTCAGCCGAAAACTAAGGCCTCGCGCCTAAACGAAAGAGAGAAAGAGAAAACGTTGCTTGATCGGCACGCGTTATCGTTGTTTTTAGTTTTGTACCAATTACAGAAAAGTCACTTCAACACTTGCGAGGAATTGCGATCGTAGCGCAACATAAAAGAAATTAGAGGCTCTGATAATTTCGTGCAACGAAACGATCGCCTGAATTTTCTACAAATCCCAAAATATGAATTAGGGGGCAATTGTACGTGTGTACCAACGTACATTTATGAAATGACGCAAGTTTGGAAAATTTGCAACAAGGATCGATACAATTAACATAGGGAGTGATGGAATTTCGCTGTAAAGAAACTATCGATATACTAAATGAAAGAGAGACTCGTAGCTTTTAGAAACACAATCTTGCGATTAAAAACTAAATAGTTCATAGTTTCGAGTTTGAATGACGCAGGTACTTGGGAGCCGAAACAAACGCTCTGCGTTTGATGAATGACAAACTTGCGGCGACGCTATTCTTTTCGAATTGAAAAGGAGGAGGCAAACTTGAGAAGTCGGTACGCCTGACGTCACCTGCCCTCATTATATGATATTCAAGTCTCAAACTCGTTTCCTGATCAATTCATTTGCATAAAGTCGAAATCTCGAATATATCGAAATGAACAGAAAATATCGAGCGCGAGATTAACGTTGATACGTGCACTGATACGCGTCGAATCAACGCGGAAGCGATAGAAAATAAAAATATGGCTACGTAAATTATTGTATTTTATTATATAGCTAATCTAGATAGAACTTTCAAAGTATACTATACGTATAGTATACGTATGTGCACGTATAATTCGAGTATATCGGAGCGGACTTACATCTAGAGGTCTTGGGAGGAATTCGCTCTATCGACGACGCGACGATGTGACACGAGTCACGAGAGAGCTATAGAGCTATGGGGAGAATTTTTTAACAAGGAGCATGTCCCTACACGTAAAAATCGGGATACGTTTCCAACGATTCGATAGATCGATAGGATGTTAAACGCAATGCAACTCGGAACGATTGCGCAAATATATATATATATATATATATAAAATATATAATAGTGATTTTGACCGTTTGAAAAAATGTAGCGGTGCCTAGGCTCGATTGGTTCGGCTGTCAGAGAAGTCGCGTAGATCGGTTCCGTCGCGGCGCAAATCAACGAGATCGTGATCGATAATAATAATAATTCGAGCCACCTGGTGTTGGTAATACTTATGTTACGCCACGCTTTCCAAGTTTCGGGTCACTAATGGCGAATAATTTCTCTTTCGTTTTTTCCCCCCCCCTCGCCTGTTTTGAAATAGATCCGCACGATCCGTGTAAAAAAGCTAGTGGATCGATGCAGCAGGTATAAAGCTCTAAAGCTACTCGTACAAAGATAAAATTGTCCTGCTTCGCCGTTGGTCGTGTCGTTCTGATTAGACTGAACTGGCTTGTTCAAATTGAACTGTCTGCAACGCAATCAAGATATATAAATTATACAGCGATAATCGTCGAGATATCGGTGTCAATAGTCAGGCAGTGACGCAACGCAAAAGTAATAGCCTGTATGTATTTACTGAAGTTTTAATTAAGAGGACGAGGGGTAATTGACGAGTAATTTCTATCGAGTCACGCTCTATCGAGCCGAGATCGGTTCGCGATAATTTCGCGATTAATAAATCTCAATAGATGAAACTTACCATTTATCAAATGTGTCGTGACACGAATATCATCCACTTGAATAGAACGGGCCCTTGTTGAGTTTGTTTGTCAACATAAATATATACATAAATTTGACAAAACGTTCGATCGAGTTACGTCGATCCTTACTTACGTCGATCGAACTACCATTTTCCGCTCACCTGGTGGTGGAAAATGTCAAAGTCTTATCGAGAGGTAGAGATATAAAATTCACGCAGGTGAGACTGGGAAATTGCACGAGAAGTTGAATGAGAAAATCAACCGAGAAAATATCTCGGTCGATTGCTCGGAAACTTTTGAACGTAAAACTTTTCTGCTTTCTCGTCTGCTTTGCCAGCCGTTACTCACTCGTATTGCGTAATAATTTTCGTAGCGATTTTCTGCACGCACCTCCGTTTTTCTGCAATTAATATGAAACAACGTTGACTATAGCCGGCCGATTAGCTGGTTTTCACAAGAATCTTTCTGCTTGTGTTTCGTATATTCGTCGATCGAAAATTTTTAACGTGTTCGAAAATGGAATCGCGATTTACAAGTAACGATCTTCGAGAATCGAACGAGATACTTCAAAGATGTATCTCGAATCAACCGTTTCGGAGGATTGTTCGAATCGAGAAGAGCAAAAAATAATGTGGAAGAAAAATAGGGTATATTTTTCACAATGCGGCCGCGATGGTGGATCTCGGTGGCGGAGGAGTCCAGACGCGTGCCCTTTCGATAGCCGGAAAACACGAAAAGACGAGCATTTCGCGGATCAGAAACACCGCGAATGTTGAGTCTTCTCGTTGGAATCGCACAGCTAGCTCGAAATGTATGCGCAAATACACACAGAGGCACGTACATATGTACATTTGCATCAAGTGCCCGCGCTCTATTTACTGGTCCTAAGTGGCGCGTGGTGTGGCGCGCGGTGTGGCGCGGCTCACGTTTGCCGTGTTATACAACTGGCCATGCACATTATGTATTATAATGTGTAACGGCATGTGATTATGTATCGTGGTATCGTATATAAATAGTATGTAGTAGGTGTGGCGGTAGCGCACCGAACGGCTATTGGCTTTTCATTGGAGGGGTGTACGCGCGAAATGAAAGTGAATTCCCTATATAAAGGGTGGTTTTCCTCCGAAACGGCAGAACAAATTTAATTGACCAGTCAACACGCGCTAGCCAAAGTATTAGCTGATCTCGGTTACCATGAGGGCCCTGGTACGTTTCAACGTTGCTTAAAATTCCCACTTTTCGTCGTAAACTTTAGTCTCTCGCTGTGATCTACACATTTGGCGTTCAGTGGATTTTGTCGTTTTGTTGTTTTTTGTGAACGTTCAGTGAGAAGAAGTCGTCGCCCGCGTGATTAAAGACTAGAGTAGAGTCGGTAGAAGGATCGATCGATCGGTCGGTCAACAGTCTCGCAACAACACGGCCACGATTTTCGCCATATTGATTACGATAAAAAAAGACAAGATTGTAAGAGGGTTTTCATTGTTGAAAGGTATGCATGATGCTGATCTCCGCGGCGATGGCCGGCGAAGAGAAAACGGTGCAAAAACGTGGTCTGCTCGATATAGGCTATGGTGGTTTGGAACTCAGCGATGGTGCTGGATGGGCCAAAGTGGCGGTGGCGGTTAAGGAAAGGCCCGTGGCCGTTCCAGTTCCAGTGCCAAAGCCGTACCCTGTCGCCGTTGACAGACCAGTGCCCGTGAAGGTGAGAAAAAGAATCCTGCGAGAAGCTTCTTCGTTCTAGTTCCCGTCCAAACGGACCTACCAACTTGCAATCTCTCGGGGCGGTTGCACGCTCTGCTCTTAAAAACCTCTTTGTATTCTTCTTACCGGATGACGGATTACTCTCGACAAAGTCGTTTCGACCCGTTAACGAGAGAATGACGTTAAAAGTTTAGAGTCGAGAGTTAAACTTGTCTACGAAGATGAAAAAAGGGTTTGCAACCGACGTGATACGAAATAATACCGATATGATGTCTTGTTGTCAGGTGCCAGTGGCGGTCCCGCAGCCAGTCCCAGTGGCGGTTCCGGTACCACAGCCGTATCCAGTAGTGAAAACTCAGACCATCGCGGTTCCTGTCGAAAAACCAGTCCCGGTTGCGGTTCCGGTTAAAGTCGCCGTTCCCGTCCCCGTTCCTGCCCCATACCCCGTCAAGGTGAGTCAAACGCCCCTATTTTCTTCGTTTTCCTCGATAATTTCGCTTCAAGTCAACGTTTTGCCCGTCGTTCGTTTTTTTGCTTACCTTTTTCGTTTACCTTTTTACTTGCAGGTTGCAGTCCCTCAGCCTGTTGCGGTTCCAGTCGCGGTTCCCAAGCCGGTTCCAGTCGTCGTTAAACAGCCAGTCCTCGTTAAAGAACAGCCAATCGTCATTCAATCGTGGAACAAGGGATACTAGGGATACGAAATCTCCCTTCGATCTGCCACCACCGTCCACTATCCCCCTGTCCCTATCTAGCCACCTTACAGCATCGCAAGAGACATTATGACGAGAGCAGTACACGAAACAGGTTCTCCTTCATAGTTAATCGAATCACGCAATAAACTGATTTTATAAATACTTTTAACAGGAAGGCTTCTCTTTTATTTCTCTTTTATTTCTCTTTCACCGTACCGTACCGTACCGTACCGTACCGTACCGTCGTTGCTTCCATCGTTTCGTATCGATTCTGACGCAACTTGCGCGTTCCCTCGCCACGCACGCATACATTTACGTGTACATTCGATTTATATTTACGATTCCTCTACAGTCGTAGAATTAATCCTTTATCCTGCAGCAGAGGCGATCGAACCTACCGAACCTTCCTTTCGAAAAGAACGCTTGTTGCACTATACGAACAAATGCTTTTCTACTTTGACCAAATTCGCACTCGTTTGTTACGTTGTCGTTGTACGTGCTCGTTTAGCGTTTAGTGTACGCACGAATTCGATCGAAGCGCGTTACGAGAGTTGGAGACCGGCGTTGGAAGGAAACGAGCAGCCGATAAAATTACGCGACGTAGCAGAAATATTGGAATATTGAAAAAGGGGGGAAGGAGGGTGGTAGGGCAGAGACGTCAGAGACGCGAAAATACAGACGCGAGATTATTCCCGCGTCGTGTTAAAGATCAAGGATTTTCGCAGTATTAATTATACTCGAATGAAACGTTTCGACACTTGCTTGCCGATTACTATTTACGTTTTACCGGCGTGGCGCGGCGTTATCTGATTCGCTATTGTATAGAAGCTACCCACGATACGCGACGCGCGACGCGCGACGCGCGACGTGTTCTCAAACCCGAACGGACCTTGACTGCGATTTCGCGCCGTCTGGGAACGCGCCTCCCTCATCCTAATTTCCAACATCTCACGGAGGTTCACGGAATGCAGGCCAACCAACAGGTGAACTTTCCTTTCAGTTTCTATCCATCTCTTTTCATCCATGTATGGAAGACGGTTCTTTTTTCCAACATTTAGCAAAACAAAGGGGGTAAGGAAGGTTATGGAAAATTTTCCAACAGAGGCGACGCGCCAACGAAATACCAATGAATGCCCGTCGTACACCTTCTTTTACCGTACACCTTCTTTCCCTGAATTGTTTGCCATTGCATTCCACGGACGATCCGTGAAACGTTTGACAGCGTATTTTCTCAACTTTTCTCACGCGAATCCTACTTTCCGATCGTCCTGTATATTACATATTTTCCAAATTTTCTTTGTATTCCAAGCTCCTCGAAGGTAAAAACCTAGTCCATCTTACTATAATATATTTCTTACTTGCTACGGGCAGAAGGTCCGTATTTTTTTTATACGAAATTTGTATAAAATGTAGGCATTTATACAAGAAGAAGACAAACCACTTTAGTTTACGTTAGCAAACCAGGCATCTGCACGTAGAAGGTAGGTGCGTTCGAATCGCGTTACGACATCCAATTAACGCGATCGTTAATCCTCGGTGGCCAATATCTTTTGCTTCACGTTCATATAAATCCAACGAAGGAAATGACTGAAACTCGAAACTTTCCCAAAATCCGCCCAATCTGCTAGAACTAGGTTAACGTTCGACGCCTATTGACGAAACACACGATCGCACGTTGGGTTTCGTCGAGACATTTCGAAAGATTTTGTCAGAATTTTCGAGTCGTCTAACCGAGTCTCCACGGACTATTACTCGAGAGAGAGAGAGCCATTTGGTTTTTTTTATCTCTCACGTTACGAATACATTCGGCTTGAGAACGCGTGATTCGCAAATGATTATATTATACAACGTTCCTTTTTTTAATGTCACGCGTTAAGCGTCAAAACTCGAACATCGTGCCGCAATTATGTAAGGGTTATTTCGTTCTCCGTAACGAAAGTCAACGCAACAGCCGACGAGGCGAACAATCCGAAAACGCGTTTTTTTACTTTGCGGAACCTTGTGCGACTCGAACATCGGGTTCGAATAAGGTTTGATTGCTCCTGTCTGATTAATTTTCTTCATCTGGCGACAGAGAGCTACGCTCCAAGCTTCGTAAAAGCAATTCTCGACTTTTGACAAAAAGATGGAACACGAAGCAAACACGAGTCGCTCGCAGGTTATTAATTTCGTAGAACAGAGAGGTTGATATTGTACATATTGGTATAAACAGCGGGAATTTGCTTCGACAAAGTTTAGGCATTGATCGATTCTCTTCTCCGCGTCATTATTTTTTTTTTTTTTTTTTTTGTAATTCAGTTCAACGATAATCGACAGATGATCGCGGGAAAAATTAAATTTATGTTTGGCGAATTAATTATTTTTTAGCGTCTGGAAAAGATGTCCGTGTTCCTGTCGACGTGTCTCACGACGATTAATATTTCACGACGAAAGTAATTTGTAACATGCCACGTGTGTACGTACGTGTGCAGGTGTATACGTCTATCGAATACTCACGTAGTCATATTTTACGATCTTGCGCGAAGTTTACAACAAGTGGTTTAATAGCGAGAAAATAGGTGAAATGTTAGTTTCTACGACTCTGCCTTTTAACTATAGAAAGCTGTTCGAAAATTACGATTTACATACGGCACCAAACCAGTCTAGGTTCGTTGTTGAAATCGAGTGTAACATTTTTAGTAAGAATTTAACGTAACGTAGAAATTACGTTACTCGATGTTCGAGGGGATCAAGGATGGCTGTGGCGGCGCGCCACAGTATTTTTGGAAACGAGTTTAACAGCGACGACAAGATGATTTTGATTAGAAACGAAGAAAACAAAATGGCGGAAAATATATTGTATTGTCTCAGTTGTTAAGAATCAACCAAAGTAAACGGTCATCGTAAAGATCTTGTTACATGTTAATTAAAAAATAAATAGTTATCGTTATAGTTACTTGTTAAATATCTTGTAATATATTTATTTATTTATTTACTTGAAGGAGCGAAAGTCTCCACAAGGCATCGATTAAAGTTGGATCAGAGCTATTGTTCGAAGTATCTCGCGCCGATTGGCCAGTGGGTTAATGATCCCCCATTGTGTCAGTGGTTTTCGATGTTTCGATTTCGACGATGCATCATCGACGTGGCTTTCTTCCTGAATGAAAACACGTACGTTCGCGACACGAGCTGAAATTCGGTGCTGTTCCGTCGTGCAATAACGGGTCGATCATGCTCATTTTCAGGACAATAAACGGACTGGACGGTGTCGTAGATGGTGGCGATATGGGGGGCCAGCCTACTTCATTCGTACGTGAAACTTTACGTTTCCACGTGCGATAGGTCTGTTACACAATCGTTCCGTTCCCTCTTGCCCGCTCAAAATGGAACAAATTACTCACCTTCCAGATTTGCGCGAGTTGCGTTATGGCGATGAAACGTGTAAGCGTATAAAGCGTATCGTGTATGTGTATCGGGACTTTTCAAAGTGTGGGTCGCGGCTCCATGTGATACGTTTGCGCAACTAAATTTCGGGGTCGCAGAAATTTTAGCAAAACTAAACAATTAATACGAATATTTGGCTTTGTCTTTAGTACGTGGTAAAATTATATTCGCACGTACACCGAATAACTGTGTTTTTGAATAAATTTTCTTCGTGATTTATTATCGATCGATCGACCCATTTTCGCCAAAGGAAACATCAACGCAGCCGGAGAAAAACATTCGACTGCTGTTTGAACAAATCTTGAGGAAGTATCTTCGTTAAGGGTACCCAGTTTTTCGTAGCTGGTGGCAGCATTTTCGGAATCACTATGTAGATAGAGTGGTGGGCATGAGGACAATCGTAAGAAAGCCCGTTAAGGTAAACGTAACGAATAATTTCAACGTGGAGTTTTCGTCGACTCGGCTGTACAGCGATTGTGTAATCGCCAACAACTGTCCCATCTGGAGCGCGTAACAAACAGAGCGTGCGGTAAGTTTGTAAGCTGAGAAAAAAAAAAAAAAAAAGAAACGAAGAAAAAAGAAGGAAAAGGAAAAGGAAAAAGACAACTGGTCGTGAAGTGATCATCTCGTGCCTTTGAAGATTCAATTTCTGTTTGATCCACTCGCGTAAGTTTGCGTATCACGGTACTATGGCATCGTGCCACTCGAGCGAGACACACCGATTTCAGATGGAAATTAAACTCGTACCTTGGATCGAAAATAAACGGGTAGCAAGTGTAAAAGCATGGTTCGCAAATACACTGTTTCGAAGAAATAAGTCGGTGAACGTTGGTCGCGAGGTAGGTTCGCGCACGGACCTTGTAACACTAAACGTCTTATCTGCGTAGCGCTTCCAAGGGGTTAGAAGAGTCGATTTATTCCGAGAATACGATCCAATGAATCATTAGTATTAACGTTAAGAAACGACAGTCAGCCTAATAAGAACAAGGTAAACGAGAGGGACTACATTGTTGAGAATCTCAATCGACAAACCGTGTGTGATGTAGGATGTAGCTTCGAACAAGTTCTTTCTTCCGCGTAAATTCCCTACTTCTGCAACAAATACGTTCGTAGCAGAATCGAGGATCGAAACGTCAAGCGAAAAGAGATTTGACGTTTGCCAACGATTATCGACTGTAAAACAGACGCAAGTAGAACGACTCGTTAGAATCGTACAGAGAAGCAAATTAAAATACTTTGTAGAAGGCAAAAGTTCGATCGTACGATGAGGGAAGTAGCTATCGAATTTATTATTTTTGTCAAATCCAAGAGAACTGTTCGATTGTTATTCAAGCAGCTCGAGTTCGAGTCGGACGAAAGTTTTCATAACGATACGACGAAACCGACGCGCAGGAATCGTTAAATTTATTTCGCGAAGAAAAATAACGTTCGCAACGTGTGTCCTGAAAGGATCTGGTTCGGACACTTGACCTCTCTAGAAATATTTTTACTTTACCTTGATATTTTCTAGCTAGGTCTTCGTCTTTAAAATCGTTTCGATTCCTTTCTTCTTCTTGTTTTTGTCGCGTTGTTTATTCAGTTTATTTGCATAACGAACGAACCAAGTTCGCATCGAATCGAGGCTGAAAACGGCCATTCCAATCTTTCTCCGGTCAAGTATAATTATTATTAGGGCAGCGAGTGTACATTTATACGTATTCAATTTCACCAATTTTCTGTAACGATATTACTCTCTGTACGTTACCTTGGACGGGTGAACAGGTAAACGTGGGTGAATGTCGTGCGAACCTGCGAAAAAGTTGGATTTATCCTTCACGATGAAACGATAAAACGATAAAACGGTAATTAAATTAAAGAATCTGACGCTCGCGAAGCCAAAGTGTTCTTCGAAAGGGAGGAAATTTTTGAAAAATTCACTGCTGCGAAATCTTTTCGCAAAGAGAGACTGTGAAAAATCTTATTAGCGACGGTAATTTCCCCGACGATGCGTGCCAACGATCGTAAACGTATCGTAAACGTAGCGTAGAATGAGAGGGAGCGTTTATTAGCGAGGGATTATTAGCAGGCTGGAGCTTCGGAACGTAACCAAGGGCATGCCGAAGAAAGTCTCAACGCGTAGTGTTGAATGGAAGCAGGGGGCAGGGGCCAAAGGGGGCCAAAGGGGGCCAGAAGCCGGGAGACAACAGGCAGAGGGGGAGATGCGGCGGAGGCGTGATGGCGGAGGGAGGAAGAGGAAGAAAGGGGGGCATAAGTTATCTTTCGCAAAAAAACGAACGAAAAGAGCTTTGCCTTGGATTACTTTTCGTAGAGCCCCTGTCCGTCCCCCACGTCCAATTTCACCTCACCGGTTTTTGTAGATGCCCACCGCCGATGCCCACCACCTCCGACCTGCTGCTCAAGGGTTCGTCGTAGTCGTCACGCCGCTTATAAAAGCAGAGGATCTTCTTGGCATCTCGTCAGTTGCAAAACAACGACGAGCCAATTCGAATAGCGCACGAACGCCATGAACGCCATGAACGCCATGAACGCCAAGGTGAGCGCGATCGGTCGTTTGTCGAGGAATAGGATCGGATTCGGTGCCAAAAGCTTCGACAGTGCCGTAATCTTTTTTTTTTTTTTTTTTTTTTTTTCTTAAAGCATCGAAAGGTTCTAGATCAAAGTAGAGAAATTGTATCGAAATTCCACGCACGAACGGAGATCATTTACCTGAATGAAAACGTTATTGCAGTGTAGTTTGTAGTTTGTAGTCGGTTTGATTTTTGTAAAAGTCAAGCCACGATTGAAAATTCTGTGCTGTTTGAGCTCGTATCTGTACGATTCTCTTTACTTGGAATTTGGTTGTTTGATTTTCTTTCAGCTTTTCGTCGTATTCGCCTTGGTGGCAACAGCCTTGGCCGAAGAGCAAGCTGCAGGGGATACGAAGAAGGACAAACGAGGTATCTACGGATTGGGATACGGCGGTGGTTACTCTGGTTACTCTGGTTACGGTGGTTACGGTGGTTACAGTGGTTACGCTAGTTATAATTTGCCCATCAGCCACGGAGTTTCCGTGATAACGAAGGAAGTGGCGGTTCCAGTAGCGCATCCAGTCCCTGTTGCTGTCGAGAAGCACGTTCCTGTCCCGGTTAAGGTAAACATTTCCCTTACTTTCGTTTGATTCTTGGCGATCGTACATTGTACGAATTGAAAGTACAACGGGACGAATAATTTTCGGTAGAATCTCTTTGGTGACGTAAAAGAGAACGTAACGTAGATGGGAAGGAAAATTTGGTCGTCGCGACGTGAAATCGAGAGAGTGGCGCGATCGAAGTAATCTAAATGACTCTGACGCGCGTTCTCATTGAAATCGAGTCGCAATCGGCGAAGGCTCGAGGACCTCGAGGACCTCGAGGACTCGGAGCTTGGAATCACGCTCTGTTTGTCACGGAATATCCGCTCGCGTGATTGGCAGTGAGCGCGCCTTCATCGTCTGATGTTAATTAACGTTTCAATGTAAACGAGCGTTGGCTATTTCGTAAGCCAAGAACGCGTTGCAAATTCCACGCGTTCGCGCTGGCTTTCTCGGAAAATATTGCGACCACGCAATCGCTCGCATTTTATCATATATCCCCTCGTTACGTTATTTCCGTCAATCGAGCGTAGATAAACGACGCGACGCGACGCGATCATTTTCAATTTTTTACGTCGAGATTGTGCGTTCGTGCAAATTTATTACATCGCGAGTCCCGTGTCCTTTTGTACGACGAAAGATGACGAAACAGCTGATGGTTTGTCTAACCAGCTAACTCGTCGACGTGCTTTGTTGTTGTTGTTCCAGGTACCAGTGGCCGTGCCTGTCGATCGTCCATACGCGGTCCACGTTCCGAAACCGTACCCAGTCGAAGTGACCAAGCACGTTCCAGTGCCGGTCGATAGGCCAGTCCCTGTTCCAGTCGGCGTTCCAGTCAAAGTTCCGGTGCCAGCTCCGTACGCCGTCAAAGTACCACAACCGTACGCTGTTCCGGTCGTGAAACAGATTCCAGTATCGGTCGTGCAGCCTGCGGTGGTGATTGAGAAGTACAACAACGGCTGGCAAAGCGGCTACCCTTCTGGCTACTCCTCCTGGTAAACGTCCTCCTGTCCTCTCGACGCCCGTTCTTCTCCGTTCGACTCGTTGCAGCTAACCTCCATCACGTCACTCGCATCAACGACGTGGTCAATGTCGTGTTGAAAATCCAGTGAAAAAAGAACCGATTCGAATTCCACTGACTGCCGACTGAGAAATCACTCACTTACCGCTAGCTAGCTAGCTAGCTAGCGTTCGTTTATCCCCTTCTGTTTTGAATCTCGCGATTTGGTTTGTCCAAAATCGATGAGGCGCAGATCGATTATACCGATCGGACGATCGGTAGTCCTCGAACATTGGATGGACGAATACGATTGCTTATTTTTGTGATGTTAAACGATGTAATCGTTCTGTCGCGATGTACATGTATGTACCTATAACAATTAGTCCTTTCTTCCTTCGTGCGTGTGTAATAATTCAACGCACGGCGAAAACTAATAATTATTTTGAAAATAAAATAAACCTCTTTGTTTCGTACTAAAGCCAGCAATGACTCTTTGAAAAGAAACGACAAATTTTCGAACCTTGCAAATATTTGTAACCACCCTCCTTGTAACGCGAACAAAGCCAAGAGTTTCAACAGTTAATCAAATCGATTGTCGAAACTCGTACGCATTGAAATTATATTGAATTCGTCGGCTTCGTCTTGCTTGGGCAATTAGGTTATGTAAAGTAGCGTAAAGTAGTCTCGATCCCTAATTATAAAATGAAAAAAAGGACGCAAAAACGTTGTTCTGCTCGTTGTTAGTTGCCGCCGTTTTGTATCACTGTGAAATGCACGGACGAAACAAAAAAAGGGCAAGGTAAAAAACGCACGTACGTATTTACAAGGACGCGAGAACTAGGGACGCTTTTCACGCTCGGAGTAGGTGGGAAATAACATCGCTAGGCATCGAATGTACGTAAACATATACACGATACGAACGTTGAATCAACCGTGCGACTCGTCAAACCGTGACATCATAGTTCACTTTCCATTCTATCGGAGCGTGAAAGATCCGCGTCGTTCTCCTCACGGTTAAACGCGGTTATTATCTTTTTTTTTTTCCAAAACGACGTTAAAAGAAGGATCCAGTCTGCGACTGGAACACTGCGTAGGGGTTTATAAAATACAAATATTTTATTTAAAAAATATAGCGAATAAAGAAGAAAAAGAAGAAGAAGAAGAAGAAAGACGGCGTCAACAAGAACAACAAAATTACAAACAACAGAAACTTAACGAGTCAGTTAAAGTCACCGAGACGCTCGGCGTTCATTCGAAGCGTAGATAAACTAGCGTACGTACATACAAATACACGTGTAGGTACGTAGGTACAAGTGAAGCAAAGTCGCTTCATCGAGAGACCGATGAGTTCAACGATGCGAGTTGTATTCGGGTTGAGAGGGTTGAAAGTGGTCATGGCCTCCTTCCTGGTCCACCGTGTAAGAACTGTAATTTTCCGATTGGTGGCTCAGATGATCCCCGTGATCGTATCCGCCGACTCCGATACCACCCTCGGAGTGGCTGCTGGCCTGATACGGGAACGGGTGTGGTACCGGATAAAAGACTGGCTTGTTCACCGTCACCGGATGAGGAACCGGAATCGGCTGCGGCACCGGGACTGCCTTCGGCACCGGTATTGGTATTTGTTGATGAATCGCGACCGGGACCGGCTTGGACACCTCGATCGGCACGTGTTCCTGGACTTTCACTAACTTCGTATACGGAACGGCGATCGGATGGTTTACCGGCACTGGGACGGGTATGTGATGGGGCACCTATCAAAGAGAAAGGAATTCTATATAAATCGATCTTTGATTCTGCGCTCGCTGGAAAGGAACAGGGTCGTTTAGCTCGTCGACTGACTCGTACAATCGTACAGTCATATTATACGGATCGATTTTACGAACGTTTTCGTTTATAAAACGATCCAACGCCATTTTAATTCTTTGGAATTAGTAAAGAAGATGCGAGAAAATGGTACCTTGACCGGATAGGGGACTGGTACTTTGACGACCGCCGTCTTGGTGACTTTGATGATCTTTGTCGGTATTTCCTTCAGATGAACCGATTCCGAGATGAGTTTCGGCTCGCTGGCAAGACCGTGGCCTTCCAGGGAGGTGAAGTGAGAGGGTCTCGCTGCGACCACCGCCAAAGTGAATAAAAACTGCAAGCGTGTAATTACGATTGATTCAAGTACGTGCACGTTTGTACGTGATGTAGATGAAAGTAAGGTCCCTTTCATTTTTCAATTCTGTTCTTTCCTTTCTTTCGAGATATTTAAATCGAAGGTAAATCTCGTTGTTGACGACAACTGAACGGTACAATGGGATTTGAACTTTCTCTCCAAATTCTTTTTGCACGATAAAACCGTAAATCTATACATATATATATATATATATATATATATATATATATATATAGGTGTGCCGAAGATTTTCGATACGCGAGTACTTTCTCTCAATCCTCTTTCGAGTAATCACTTTTGAAACGCACGTAGTACTTACGCGCAGCCTTTTGACAGCAAAAAGGAGAGGCAAAGCGAGGCGAAAGGATTAAAGATTCGACGATTACACTTTGTAACCGCGAGCCCCCTGTAATCTCACTCTGTAAGTTCACTCTTCGCGAGATGACAACGAAAATGGAAATGGTAAAATGGAAATCCGTGAAAAAATGTCACAGCGGTGGTGTTTGACCAGAGGTTTGTTCGATGACGACGCCGACGCGACGATACGAGATACGATAATGTCATGTCTTGATGATGAACTTACTATTCGCCACATCGTCATCCGGTTGTTGAAAGTAAGTCGATTGGTGTTTCCGATTGGACGAGTCACACTGACAATTGCACTGCCAGCAGTTGCTTATATACGAGGACCTTCACCGTCACCGATTCACGAAGAAAGCACTCTCTTTCCGACTGGCTTGCGTTCTCCGATCTTGTCTTCGCTTCTCCCATTTTTTTTTCCTTTCTTTCTTTCTTCCTTTCTTCCTTACTCTTCCCGTGTCTCACGTACCGCGAGTTCGACGACCGCCTCGCGTCCGGCCTCCGTCTCCACCACGAGCCATTACGCTCTTTTTCAAGTGCAATCGAAATCTAACCGCGCGCACACGCGCGCATCCTCCAACGTGCCAACTGCGCCGAAAGGGAATTACCGTTTACTCTTTCGTAACCGTGACGACCCTGTCACGCAGCTTTCCACGCAGCCTCGATCGATTCAACGCCTTTTCCCATTCCCATCAATTCCCTCTGCACGCTCAAGGAGTCAATGGAGTCAAACAACAACGAGTCCATTGAGTATCACGAATGTTACTTTCGTCGTGTGCTTGGATGCCTTTCCTCCAAATATGTATGCAATTGCTCGATGGCATTTCAAACGTGCGTTTCTTTGACGCTGTTTGGCGCTCTTCAACGAGCGCTTTAGCGAAAAAAGGATACATATATATATATATATATTATGTTACAGCGTTACTCGTGCTTTAAGAATGAAAATTTAATTGTAGAAAATTTCAGCAAGAGATTTAACGATTTCGGCTAATCAACTTTAATTGTGCAAGTAGAAATACGTATTGTAGGTATTTTTCTACTGGTCGACGTTGCAGATTACGGACGATCCTCGACTTTTGTACCCAATTGATTCTTGAAATGTGTACTGCGAGGGTTGAAATGTAAGAAAGTAGATCAGTGTAAGGGAAAAACCGTCAAAAAGTGTTTTTAAAGTATTTATTTTTTAATGAGGCGTTTATTAGCATATAAATAAATTTTATACTTTATCGATTAGTGTCTGATGTTTTCTTTACAAGTTTATATGTTAAAGATGGTTGAATTGTACTCTTCTTTTCTCGATAAAGAGTTCTGTAGCTCTTCGTACATGAGATATATGCTCTTCATTGGAGTCACATTGTTCCGCGATGATTGAAAATTGGTCGAGATGCTTTTACGAAACATGGTAAGAAATATGTACGAAAGTCGAGGACCGCATTTCTGTATATAGAAATTTTAAATCGATTACACGTACTTGGAGAGATAGTTGGAACAATCGCGATATGCAAAACGCCTTTCACGCGAGGCTTGGTCACAGGTTTAGAATCGTCTTTGGATTTGCTTCGTCGTTTGCCGAGTGTTTCGCGGGCGAGGAAATTGCATTAGGAAGCGATACTTCCTGCGTAAACTTGCAGTGTAATTTCCTGCAGTGTAAAAAATGGCGAGAGTGGTCGACGATTCTGAAATGAACAAACGGTGCGAACGGATTATTCGCGGCCGAGGGAGAGGACGGTGAAAGGATTATCGTAGCCAAAGACTAAAAAAACGTCCAAAGTAAAAGGACTATAATCTGGATCATCTGGCTCTTTCCACGTTCTTCCATGCGCTCGCGCTGTGCTTGGGCGAGAAAACGTGCCCCTATACGACGTCGCAAGGTTAATAAAATACTGCTTAATCGTCACAGATTGTGTGTGCCACACGATTTGTTCAACGCTCCTCGTTCGAATTGTAATCTATCTTTGCAACACGTTCCGTGGAAATTTTCATTGAAAAATTCTCCGTGTAAAACTCTCCTCTGCTTCTCTTTGTCGGCTTGTATTGCTTAAAGTCTGAATTGGAAACCAATTGCGATCCAATTGCAAGGATAAAAGTATCTTGGGCTTGGTGGTCGATGACGGCGTGACACGATGGCGTTCTCTCGCAGAGACGGTAAAAATCGGGTTCGGTACAAAGACAAGAGTGAAAACATTATCCGCGCAGTCCTCTTTCTCCTCTCACTTTCGACGGAAACCTGTCGATTGCTTGCCATGTACAGAACATATAGGTCTCGACGTTCAATTTCTCGTCGATTTTTCGTGTAACGGAACGCTAATAAATATGAAGCGCAACAATTTGCATCGCGTAATTTCTATTTGGCTCGTTTTACAGGAGAAAGGCAGAAAGTCGCACGAAACGAGAATCATTCGAGCCGAATTTTTATTTATTACGACTGACCTAGCACGCAAACTAGAGTATGTACGCGGACTGATATCGGATTCGACATAACGCGTCTCGTACGTTCAATGGCAATCATTTGTGATCATTCTCTTTCACTTTGTCGTTCAGAATACGAAACGGATTGATGTCAGAGCGGAAGAAACGACGCGACAGGCGAAAAGAGACAGCACGGTCGCGGCGGTCGGGTGAAATCCCCCGTTGACTGATACGGATGGAAGATCAATCGGGATAATTAGAGCGCGAGTCTGAAGCTCTCTTTCCTTCCGTAATTCGCTGGAGAAGGTAGCTAATGATTAGTAGCTGTAGAAAAACGATAGTATCTTTTTTTTTCGTTTATTTGATTTTATGCATTTGCACGTGCGGTCAAATTTGACGACAGGTAATTTACTCTGACAGCGCGATTCACCGCACAACACAGACAAGATATGTGAGACATACGATGTATACGTTAGGGCAGTGACGGCGAACCTTTTTGAGAAATAGGTTAAATTTTGTTCGTTCGTTATTTTTTGTTAGTACTAGCCTGTGGGTCACTAAGTCAGTGGCGTCACTTGGAAAGGGGGAGGGGAGGATGGTTAAAAACTACTTTTTTTTTTTGTTCTCACTTTTATAATTCTCTAAAAAGTTTACGTTTCCTTTCTTGTTTTACAACTTTTACTTTTGCAAGTGAAGAGCAAAAGATCAATGTCGACGTGAAAAAATTGATATAAAAGCGGTGACATCATGCCCAGTGACCCATGCACTATACATTAGATATATATACTTTATTTCTTAATATTTTTTATTGTCTGTTCTTTCTTTCATTATATAAAAAACTAGCAAAGCTGCCCATTCTGAGAATGGGATCTAGTGTGTTTTTTACTGTTCATTACATCTGTTTGATCGTAAGCGCTATATAAAATTTTTTGGACACAAGTAACTCGTATAACATTTAAGACTCGAAATACCTATATGTATACATAATCAAGTCGTAAATCCTCCATAAAACACAATTATGCATTTATTTCTCACTTTAAGGTCTAACCGAACACTTGTAATTTTCTGAACATTTTTTGAAAGGAGGGGTTCGAAAAATAATTAAAATTCTTTTATATATATGATGATAAGTTTATAAAAATCAACGCGTGTGTCATTTAAAAAGCCTGTGTGGGTCAGTGTCTGACCCACGGGTCATAGGTTCGTCTTCATTGCGTTAGGGATATCTACCAGTCTGTCTGATTTGGAAGAAATCTACGAGTAGGTGGTGTTTCATATTCTTGGAGACTAGTTTCAAGTTTTAACAATAGATGGAACTAGTATGCCACTTAGGTAAAAAAAATTCAATTGGTGTATGAGTTGGAATAACAATTGGACAATTCGCAAAAAATTACACTGTTGCAGTTGTATCAACAAACGAACGAATGCAAGATGAAATTTTCCGAATTGTAAGCTGACCAGTATAAATCACGCGTAGAAAAAGTTGAAAGCGATCGATAATATATATTAAAATATTGAACGTCAAATTCCTAAAAGTTGCGACGGAATTGCAATTTTTGATCTACTTTGTATGTCTAATTTTGAATTTTCGGCTCGCTCAACGAAGGCGCGCGTCTTGCAAAAGCTTTAAAGAACGGGTTTGGTTTCTTTCTTCTAGAAACCAAGGAGAGAGAAAGAATTTCCATTAATTTAAATAAATAATTAGATGCAAATTTTTTTGCAAACTTTTTAAAAGTTAAAAATCAATGCAGCGCGGTTAATTCCACGTAAGATCAGCTCGATGATGGCAAAATTACGAAATTCGTTTTATCGCCAGAGTTTTTTTTTTAAATTCCACGAATAGAATTCTGCTTTTTGCAAAGAAGGCAATAAAAAGAGGAATGGAAGAAGGGGAAAAGAAGAGAGAGAAGAAGGGAAGAAAAAGGTTACAAGAATCACGATAGCGCGTCGTTTGCATTTGGAAAGTTATAAAATATTATGACGTAAAGCACAATCTGTATGAAAATACAAAGTTAGTCGCTTGGTCAACGAGAACGAACGAGGTTAATACTCAAAGACGTTCCCGTTGACAACGGTCCATTAAATGTTACAAAAGTCCACAAAGCCTTTTTATCTGAAGCCTTTAGAAGCTTCGTATTTTCTTAACGAAGCTCGTCGATGCTCGTGCACGCGTTCACGGAACGTTGCCCCGTCGACGAGGAGGAAAGAGAAAAAGAAAAGGAAAACGAAAAAATCGGTAGACCGATGTGTTAAGAAGGAAGACGCACAGAAGATTTGCATAAATCATTCTTCGTTATACGTATATTGAGAGTGTACAGGCTGTGGGCGCGCAAAGGAGAGGGGAGGAGAACCATCAGTGTCAAAATAAAGATGGAATTCGGTTTCGTTGAATCCTCCGTCTCGCATCACCAACGCAACCGAAAATTTATTTATGGTAATATTTTGTCCACGGCGATCATTTACCTGACACGGGCCCTCTCTCAGAGAAGTCAATTAAAATATCTAGTTCTTCCAATGCCATCCGAAATTGCGAAATAGATTGGAGGGAGCATCGGCCGAGTATAAAAGGTCGAAATATCTTTGGGATGACACTGGATTCCTCGTTCAAACCCCGTACCGCCAGCATGAGGTTCGCGTTCGTCACTCTGGTAAGGATTTTACTCTTTTTATCGTTTTCCGTCGAGTATCATTAAGTATCGATTCGTGGAAACGTTAATTGGAATAGAATGTACCTGTTGTTCGATCATTTCGTTATATTTTTATTCGGCGAATAAATAATTTCGATCGTACATTATTACGATTATTGAATTTATCATTTGTATTTGCTCAATGTTTTAAAACCGATCAACGATCGTTTCGGTATTCGTCGTTCCACACGTTCCACCTGTGAAATTTGAAAAACAGGCGCGATCACAGAGGTGTACGTGACTTAAAAATGTTTCAGACTTGCTTGGCGGCTTCTTCGGCTTTATCGCTGCCGAAGCAAAAGAGGGACATTCTACCTGGTGATCCACGATACGACGAAGCCAATAATCATCATCATCACCACCATCATCATGGTCAGGAGAACGTAGTAGAAGACGTAAAATCTGTCGGTGATGTTTACGCGGAGGTGCCACAGAATACTTATGGATCTCGGTCGAGTGTTCCCTTAAACAATCAGTATTTGTTACCGCTTGACGACGTCAGTAGACAAACCGCATCAGTACCAAACTCTTACGGAGTTCCCGATACCATCCAAGTAACTGAAATAAATAACTCGATCGTAGAGGATTGCATTTCTGTAAAATGGCATTCCACTCAGAGAATAAATTATGTTTCCGTTTAGATTTCTCGAGTGATCGATACTTACGCGGGACCAGAAAGAACGATATCAACCGCCACGGTACCTGTTGAACGAGTCGAGGTACGTACCTTGTGTATAAATAAAAGCACGTATATGTATAAAACTGTCATTCAACTGTCGAAAAATGTGGCGTTGTCTTATTAATTAATTTATCTTACTCTGATTTTGCACTTGTAGACGGTAAGCGTTACACCGCCTTTAACTTCTTACGAAACTCCCGTAAGCAAAACCACCAAGGTACGTATGTACATACGTACATTGATATTTTCTAGAATTCATTTGTTATTTCAACACTCGATTTTCGACGATATACGATACATTTCGTGTGAAATTTTTTCAGAGTACGGTAGGAATCGGAGCCACCTCCACGGTGAGAGAGGTCGACGTATCTCCACCAGTTAGCGAGGTACAGGTGCCTGTTGTAAAAGGTAGGAATTTCATTACGACAGATACAGTGAATGGTATTCCATTGACAATGAAAAACAGTGAATAATTTCACCAGAAAGATCGTATGACCCGTGAATCCACTTGGTCTCATTTTAAAAAGCGAAGCTTCCATTTTGATAGTTTGTTTCTTTCGAAGATGATTTTACATCGTACAGCGGGTGGGAAACTGAGGAACGTGATGTAAAATCATTTCCGAAAGGAACAAATTCGACGACTGTCAAGGTACAAGCTTCGTGCTTTAAAATGAGATCAAATGGATCGTTGTGACATTTTTTTTTTTTTTTTCACAAAGTTACATTAGCTTGAATTGTCGAATTGAATGTTTCATTGTCATTGATGGTTACAGTTATGCTCTTCGCTGTAGTATGTGTTTTGTGACGTCTGAGACGATTTCGAGATATCGGGATAAATCAGAAAAAGGTGGACAGTTCCATGGTCAGAATGTTTTCGTTGCAGAGGTTACGCGTCTTACTACTGGAGTGCAAACCGTAAAGAAGGACGTGGTTGGTAGAGACCTGCTGACTGATGGTTACGACGTTTCTTCTCGCGTCCCTACCGCTCTTTATTCAACGGGATTCAATCCCTTTGGCGTCGTTCCCATTGGATACAGCGAAATTAATCCCTTGACGTCTGTCAATCAGGATGTCAATCTAGATGTCCCTTTGCCTCTCTCGCTGACTCTCCAAGTCAGCAAAAAGGCCCCAAACACGTACTCTTTCCCGCAATCTCCTGTCGAATTTCCTACAATTTCCTCTTATCAGCTCCATCCACACGTGGTGCAACATGCACCACAGCCCGTGAACACGTTGTACTCTTTACCTTCTGTCGCCTTGGTCAGATCATTTTCCCCGCTGCAGCATCTATCGTCCGTGGATAGAGTGCGGCCGGTGCAGCTGGTGCATACGGTAAAATCCGTCAAGTCGGTGGAGACCACGCCGATTCAAGGACACACCGTGCAATCCGTGCCGTCGTTGGTGAATACTTTGAACACGCCGATCGAATACGCCGTGCATCCCGTGCAATCGGTGGAGACCGTATCAACGACCGTGCATCCAGTCAAGTCGGTGGACATCGTGTCAACGTCAGAAACGGTGGAGTCTCGCGATACAGCGGCGGAGGTGGTTCAAAGCAACGTTGCACCCGCAAACGTAGTTCAAGGTCACGTCCAGACGCAGGCACAGAGGGGACCGATAACCGATTTCTTCCAGAAGCTGAACGTCACGTTCTCGTTGCCATCGTATTTTCCATCTTTCCCTTCCTTAGGCTCCTTAGGCTCCCTAGGCTCCTTAGGCTCGACAACCACAGCTTCACCTCCGGCAGCCAGTCCATCCCGTGTTTCGTTCGCTGGCACTTACAACCAGCAAAGTATCAACGTCGACGATTCGTTGCTGCGTAACGACAACTTGGTGAAGAGCGCGTTGCCCGTTACGTTGCCTCACGAGTATGTTCAACCGACGGACGCCAATGGTGGATACATTTATTAAATGGCACGCTGTAAATATCTATTTTACTTGTATTAATAAACATCTATTTTACGTACGGTAGAAACGTTAAGCGACGTGTTTGCTCGCATATCTTACGATATCTCAGGAGAAGTTGAATGGAGTAGTAGAGTAGTAATCTCACACGGTGGAAGATAATTTATCACCTTGAGTGGCTGTATACTATAATAATTGAACAACACGGACAATTCCAAGACGATAAACGTCTTGGACTTTTGACGAAGGGGAGACATTTAGTTAAGAGTCGGATGTAAAACACGACTGCGTGACAATTTTAACTAAATAAAATTCTTTTATTACAAACCACATCAGATTGTTCTGCCACTGTCGCCCTCGCTTTTCAACAAATATTCTTTATATATGTATATATGTATGTGTGTAGTTGAACGCGCTTGCTACCGAGACCACTTATGTCGGACACGATGCTCGTTACGATCGGTAATTACGATTGGACGAGAGTATGGACAAGTAGGAAAGTTTGATCATACTCGTATTTGAGGAAGAAGATACATTCGGTAAGATCTCTGTAAAAGATACGTTGGACGAGAGAGCAACGTCGTTACCACAGTCTACACTTTCCTGAGGGATTCATGTTCGATCCAACAGGGCATTTCCATGCTTCGCTGAATTCCTGGGAGTTTTTGAGAACTCCGAGGAGTCTCACGTGCCCGGGACAGTGGGAGTCTTGTAGTATCCATTGCAAAGATTTTGGCGTGTAGGCCTCGCACCAAACCTAAGTTTCACAGATAAAGATTGACGAGTTACTCGAGAAACTTGCTTGTTGAGAAAAGGATTGTTAACGCCGCTCGATGATTTCGAATGACGACGGACAAGCCAGGGCTTCTTGCCAATATATAAATAATATTGTATTATCGTATATTCATCGCGGACAGCGATTCGTGCTCTTTTTTTTTTTTTTTTTTTTTTTTTTTTTTTTTTTTTTTTTTTTTTAAAAAAAAAAAAACCCCCCCCCCCCCCCCCCCCCC